CGAGTTCAAACAAAATATGGAAGGTACAACAAACCTTGGAAGTCATGGACTGAAGCTCCGGCGGGTATTCATCTTCGTTACTCGAAACGGAGGAAGAATCGGCGGTGGTGTGGCCCTCCGACGAGTCTTCGCCGGCGGCGATTTCCTGATTGTGATCTCTGAATCGGAATCTCGACGTGGAAGTTGAGGTCGAGTCCATGGGGAATCGACGGTTTGATGGAGAGTTGTTGCGATTGGAAGTTGAAGAAAATGTAATTTCGAGGTTTTGATAAGCACTGGGTTATCGTTTTCTGCCGCCATTGTTGTTTGGAAAAAAGCTTGGGTTTGTTCGTTTGAAAAAAATATTCAGCTGCAGGCCCGAATAAAATAAATAGTGGGCACAAAGCTTCAATTAATTTCAAATTTGTTAAAGTTTCAAATTAAGTTCAATTGAGTCCCTGGTACTTTCAATTTCACCCTCTTATGATATTTTGAGGTAAAAAGACAAAAAAACCCTTGTACTTTCCCATGTGCATCGCGCGTGCATTGAAAAATGAGAATATTTGCCGGAATATTCCCCTTAGGTGGTTATGTGCGTCAAAAAACTGAGTTTGGGTGGGCACTTACAACTTTTTTTAGTTAAGGTGGCAAAGTGCAAAAACGGGCAAAGTCCAGGTGGCGAAATGCTATTAACCCTTCATTCAAAGACAAACTTTTGTTTTTTTATAATAATAAAATATAATATTTAAGATTTTATCTTTCTGCTGCTTTTACAAAACACTTTAATTTTGTGTATTTGAAGTAGTAGCATGAAATTTAGGAAAAAGAAAAAAAGAAACTGTTGCCTTTCCGGAGTATCAGATTTTCTATATTGACTAGGATTTCAAGATTCCAACTCTTTTGAAAATTAATTAATCTTTTCTCCTTCTTTACTCAATATGCTTTATATTTACAATGTGTGTATATATACGGGGTTACGGCCACCTCTGAGATAAAGTCAAATTACGAAAAAAAAAAAACTCTCTTATTTGGGTAATTACAACCATTCTCCTCAATTCTGAATCTTCTTACACGTCCATCCTTATGATGTCAAATTCGACATAATCGTCTAGATTCCGTTGAATTTTCTCTAGTTTGTACTCGTTTTTGTGCAAAAATGCAGTTTCTGATGCATCACAATCCGATAGCTACAAGTCAAGATACACATCTTATGATCATATATATTGTTTCAAAATGTGGGACTTGAATGGGGTAAAACGGGAGACGGCTACAAACTGAAGAATATTTCACATAATCTAGTAATTTCCACTAAATTTAACGCCGCAAGAATGGACACGTAAGAAGATTCATAGTTGAGGAGATGGATGCATACATGTAGTTACCCACACGGTAGGACTTTTTCGTAATTTGACATTACATCAGGGGTGGCCGTAATTTACTCTATACATGTGTATTAAATTTAGTGTTAATTAATTAAGGATAATGAAAAGATAAGGAAAGGATAATCACAAACACAACAATTTTGTCTCTATATATATATATTTCTTGAAAGTATCAAGAATTTGAAAAATGTAGGCACAATTGTTGTGTGTACTTTGTTGAATAATGTGTTTGAGAGAAGTCACATGTTTAATCCGCGTTCGATGCATACTTTAATTAATTGTCCTTAATAATTTTTTTGTCATGTTCTTTAATTTTCAAAGTGGAGTTGTTAGGGATCTTCACTAATTAACCAAATTCATTAATCCAATGTACTAATTAATATTCATTGTTGTACTACTAAATAAATGGAAACATTACATTATACTTAGATTTCTTACATAGTTTATTTATGTATGTTGTAGGCACATTCACTGAATTTTCACTAGGTTCTATATCTATTGTCCCATACACATGCATAAATTCGTACATATATTGCACTTAATATATTTAAGATGAAAAATTACCTAATGCATTTCATAAAGTGTAGTATCGACGATATCGTTTATTTTATACTACACACATTTATTTATTTATGATTATATAATAACTTCTTTTAATTGTCAATGATATTTACGAAAAAACCCCTTTATGTTTTCATAATTACATTCACCCCCACAATTTGTAGATTTCTTACATTGACACCCTTTTATTGGGGGCGAATGTAAGAAATTTACAAATTTCAAGGATCTTGATGTAATTTATTAAAAATAATGAGTTTTTAATTACATCTTACCATAGGGAGGTGGTTTCAATTCTCATAAATAATTAAGCCATAAAGTAAATAAAAAAGATAGGCAAAATTGTGAGTCATGGAGAGGAAAAAGTGACGACTTGAGAGAAAAGGGGCATTTAGTCAAAAGGAAAACAAAAAATGACCCCAAAAGAAATTAAATTAGTGGGGCCATTTAATAAATAAATAAGTAAATAAATAAATAAGCAATTTTTATTAGTAGTTCCAATAGTAATATGTGACTTTATAACTTTTTATGTTTATAATTATTTGATTAAGCAGCTGTCACATGCCTAAATGGCATTGGGAACAACATAAGACCATTTGTTATGATCAAATGAGTCAACCCCTTTCTGTCTTTAGCATATTCAAATTGGACCCTTTCACCCTCATAATTAATTAATTAATTAAATTCAATTTATTAGTAATTATCCCAAAATTAAATGTATTAGTGATTATTAATTTAAGAGGGTCATTTTTTATTTCTTTAATGACTTTCTATCCTTTTAAGTATGACGTGACCCTTGACTCCCCCACTAAACTTTTTCTAGACTTTATTTTTTCCCCTTATATATTTCTAGTATAAAAAAAATTTATTTATTTTGTAGTTGATACTTAATTTAAAAGCTATTTTTCTTAATAATTTATTTAGTATTTTAATCTATATATGTATTTTAGTTTTATCCGCTAATTGTTGAGAGATGGACTATTTTAATTTATTCAAAAGATGTGATCCATTAGGGTCTAATTAATAATAATAATTAAAATATATAAAATTAGTTAACTAGCTCATAATATTTGTGAAATATTTAACAAAAAAAAAAATAGAAAAAAATGGTTTGGTAGAGATTAGAATTTTGCACAATCTCCAAAAATTGCACAAACTTTATTTCCAAATATTTAAGGCCATCCGGAATTTAGGGATAAAGATTTTGACATTCTAAGGGTAGTAAGTGACTTTGACCACAATTTTGAATCAACAATTTTCTTTCTTGTCTTTGACCAATATTCTAAGACAAAAAAGAAAATTTTAATAAAAATCACATTTTTATTTTTTAATTATTGATATAGGACCCTCAATTTTAATCATTTTGCTAACTAATGGAAATTTTTATTGTAATATTAATTAATGCTCAACTTGTTACATATCCTAGAATATAGCTAACTAATAATCATGTGTGACATGAATTTTCCTTTAGTAATATTTGTCATTTGATAGGAAATCCTAAGAGTTGAGGGCCCTATTGTCATTTCACTTATTATTTATGTCAAATCATTCTTTGCTTCTCGATTTGAATAATTGAACCTCAAAGATCAAGAATACATTTTGATTCAAAAAAAATATATATTTATGATTTGTACAATACAAACTTGTATGGATGATTAATAAATATTTAATTCATGTAATGAAAACAATAAATGGAAGAAATTTTATTTAAAATAGGATAAATTACGCCCACCCCTGTGGTATGTCTAAATTACGAAAAAAATCCCTCTTGTTTGGGTAATTACAGCTACCTCCTCCATTTGAATATTTTTATGTAAAATTTATGTAATTATGTTATTTATCGAATCAAATTATATATTTAGTTCGATAAACGGTATGAAATATTTGCATACCGAAATTTCGATTCGATTTTACTAAATTAACATTCCTAAATTTACCTCTGAAGAGGTCTTTTCGTAACATAGTACATAGTTAAAGAGGTTGACTGTAATTATCCAAACAAAATAAATGTTTTCGTAATTTGACATTTAAAATAAAAAGAACAAGAAAAGATTTCACGCACAACACACACTGCATGTTCCAACAAAACACGTACCCGGATTATGTGACCAAATTCCACTTTAACCCCAGGAAAAGAAAAAAATAATTACAGGGCCACGTCACCCGGTAACTGAGAAAGCCATGTCTGAACTGACACGTAAGCACTGTTCCGTTACAATCTGGTGGGCCGCCCCCCCTTGACGTGTCTATCTCCCAGCACCGTTTCGATTGCCACGTAGGCGAGTTTGTACTGCACACTTCCAGTGTAGGTACTGTGCGCTTTAAGTAGTGTACGTGTCTCCAAATTAAGACGTGAGCCGCGGCGCAGGGGATCAGAAGCAATGATGGCGATGCTGAATGAATACGAGGTTTTTTTTTTTTTTTTTTTTTTAATTAATTATTTTTTTTCTGCTGGTGTTTTAAGGATTTACCAGAAACAGTAAAAAGTTAAAAAATTGGGTATGGGTGGGGCCCACAATCAAAGATTGTGGTACTCTGCCCAATGCATCAAGGTACAACTATCAGATTTGCTCCCTATATTTGCTCTACATTACATCTCTATTTCACTATTTGTAAATTTGCTCGAAGATTCATATTTATATACGTCGGGTATAAATTTACTAGTTGTAGATAATCGAGCTCAATTTAGCACAAATAAAACTTCAGAGTTCTTTCAATGGCAAGAAAAACACTCTCTCTCTCTCTCTCTCTCTCTCTCTCTCTCTCTCTCTCTCTCTCTCTCTCTCTCTCTCTCTCTCCCTCACCGAATACAACTGCTCCTCCTCGATAGATTTTACTCGAACACACACATTAATTCAATCTTTTTAAAATGAAATTAAATAAATTTTGTTCGACTATTTTGACCAATAGCATGAAATGGACTTTCACAAAACCAATAAAATATATTTTCAGCCCAAAATGAGAAATAATAGCCCAAGACATAAGTTCCTAAAGGCCCATTTAAAAAGTTTCTTCTATTTTCCCGCGTGGATAAATACAGATTAACAAAAAAAAAAAATGATTTAAATAATAATCCACAAAAATGAAGGTTTGCTAAATGAAATAATCATCATAATTTATATCATTAGAGAAAATACATTAGGGTTTCATAAACTAAGTAATAACTATCATCTGCAAAGTTAATAAATTCCACAAGCCTTTCTTTTTATGCACCTGTTATAAAAGCACGTAAAAACGAAATACGCATAAAAACGGATATCGGGGACGAAACAATAAGAAAAAGCGAAGAATAAAATAATAAAAAAAATAAATAATAATAATAATATTATTATTTTTCGAATAAATAAACTCTTACACGACATTGTGACAATCTTATGATTTGTGTTGGAGTGTTGTCACTGATTCAGTGTTATTCATTTGCAACGAGGCCGAAACAAATTTCCTCCTTGAGCTGAAATTCGAAATGAAAAATAAAACAAAATCGAAAAAACCCGGACGAACAATCACTACTTTTATATGATAACGAAACTTCAATTTTTTTACCTTGAGAGGGAGACGATCGTAATAGAAAGTTAGTCAACTTTTTCTATTGACTTTTTCCGCCTACTTGTGGGGCCCGGAGTATCTGCAGCATCGTGCCACACCAGATCCATCTAGTAGAACAAAAACAAAGACGTACACGAGTTAGGGTAAATTACACCGATGCCCCCCCCTGAAGTTGGGTGTAATTACAGTTAGACCCCTCGGATTCGGAACATACCTCTCCAACAATGACGGTATCGCCCTCCTTTACGCCTAGCTTAATAAGTGATTTATTAACACCGCATGCATCCAGAACAT